GGCTCTTTTTGTAAAGAAAAAGTCAAATGAAGGAAGGGACCTTGGAGCTTTACAGCCTGCAGGAAGGAGTGAGGAGATGATATTTACAGAACTTTTTTTTAATTGGACATAAGTCTGATCAGAAATCACCAAATGGCATCCCTCCTACGTTGAGTCTTTGGTGAGTGGCTTTGGAGTCCTCTTGAGCTGGGAGGGAGTATCGCTTTGTCCAGTCCACACATCTCACCCCATTTACAGAGGAGAAAACTGAGGTGAATCGAGTTGCTCAAAGTCAGAGAGTAGCAAAGAAAGCATCACGGTCCCTCTTATTGTTGTTCAGTCATGTCAGATTCTTCAGGGCTTTATGGCAAAGATACTAACTACAGTGGTTTGACATTTCCTTTTCCAGCTCATTTTACAGATGAGGAAACTGAGACAAACAGGTTAAGTGACTTCCATAGAGTCACACAGCTAGTAAATGTTTGAAGCCAGATTTGAACTCCTGAAGATGAATCTTCCTGGCCCCAGGCCCTGAGCTCTGCGCACTGTGGTGCCTAGCTGCCTACTATGGTCCCCACTAGCTCTAAATCCGACCCTGTCAGGCAATCCCCAACTACACAGTGAGATCTTTCTGGGACCGAAATACGCCTCTTGGTTCAATTCGCTGAAGGTGACTGCTCCAGAATTCTCGTGAAGAAGGATGGATTTGCATCTTGGGAGGGGATGGAGGGAAATGTCCTCGGGAGCCTCTATCTCATTTGAGTATCTTAGGTGAGATAAAGAGCCATTTTTTCACCATTCCCAGCATCAATAGCAAACATTCAGCGTCTACCATGTGCAAGATGTTACGCTCACTGCTAGAATTCAATTTAGTAAGCATGGATTAATCACCTGTGTTATATGCCAGGCATTGTTCTAGTTCTGGGGACATACACACACACACACACACACAAAAACCACAGAAGAGTCCCTACCCTCAGGGAGATTACGTTCTGTCCGTGGAAACATGTACACAGAGAGGCAAACACAACGTAAATACAAACAGAATACAAAATAATATGACAGACAGAACTGCAGGGGAGCCCTAATGACTGTGGGAACCAGAGGGGCCTTTTGTGTGTGGGTGGGGGAGGTGGTCCTTTAGCTGAGCCTTAAAAGAAGGTAAGAGTTCCAAGAGGTAGAGGAAGGGGCAGGTCATTAACCTCTGTTTCCTCAATTTCCTCATCTACAAAATGGTGATAATCATAGCACCTACTGTCTTTGTTGTTCTGAGGATCAAATGAGATAATATTTGTAAGTGCTTAGCACAGGGCCTGGCAAATAGAAGCACTTACTACATGATTGTTGATCGGATTGGAGCAGGGAGGAAAGCTTTTGTGTAATAGTCCAATAAGTGGAAAGTGACAGAGGCTTGAAATAAGCTGGTGGCAGCTATGAGATTAGATGGAAGTGAGATATACTGTGGAGGGGCGATTGAGGAAGCGTGGTGAATCATGAGCAGATATTGGAGGGCACCTAGTCTGACCCCTTCAATCTACAGATGTGGACATAGTTTGAATTTGAGAGTAAGAGCTATGGAAGGGTTAAGGACTCCTCTCATCAACCCCAACCCTATTCCAGAGCAATGGACAGAGTAGATGTGTCCTTGATCCCTGTGTGAAACATTCTGTATCATGCAACACACAATGAAAAGCAAGGAAGTAGATGTGGAAAGAGCCACAGGTGGGGGACCTCCATGCAACCTGGGGAACTTGATAAAGAATAAGGAATGTGGATATTCTGAGCACGATATTGACTGGTTTCAAAAGTGGACGTTTTAAAAATTCATTTACCCAATTAATCGTTCAAAACAATGAAAACCACCCACCACCAGCATCGAAATTAGTAAAAGAGCATTACTAGCTCAAAGATCCTATTGCCAAAGGACCCTCTGTTTTCTGTGGCAGGAGACCACTGAAATCATGCAGTCTTGCATATTCTCATCTCCAGACGGACGATGCTGCGTCTATCTGATCTCTTGAAAGGACACACTCATGCTCCAAAGGAAAACACTGCTTGGACTCTATCCCACCTCCCCTTGGTTGCTAAGGACCGATTTCTTTAATCTGATTTTACAACAAGCTCTACCAGCTTTAAAAATTCACATTAAAACAGTTACTCTTTCTATCCCTGGCTTTTTCTCCTAGCCTTTGTGTTTAGAAATCATAGACACTGATCTCTTGCAGGTAAAGGTGAGGGAGTCATCTTCTCCTAAGGCTGGTTTTGTAGAATTGGACCCATTTGGAGGAACTGGGTTTAAGATGACCGAAAGAAGTGTGATCTGAGGATGCCTGAGACCTTGTCAGGGGATCCAGGAGGATGAAACTATTTTACATTAATACCAAGATGTTTCGATTTCTGATACAGTATAGAAAGATACAGTCTATCTAAATGAAAGCTTTGAGGGGGTTCCTTGATAATTTCTAAGTGTAAAGGAGTCCTGAGACCAAAAATTTTGACAGCTGCTGATCTAAAGAATATGTAAGCTTCTCCATATCTTTCCTAAAAGGTGGTGGCCAGCCTGAACATTGGCCTGTCCAGGGCAGAGAGCTGCTGCAGGACAGGTGTTTCTCGCATTCTGGGCCCGATGGCTCCTGCAGTTTGACCTCTTGTCCTGTGCTTGTCCTCCTTCTCATTTTCTTTTATCTCCAAAACAATGACAGCCGGCGATGGAATCTGCCCAGCTTTCACAGCAAAGTTTCAGTGTATGCACTTCACCAGATCTCTAGGTCTCATTTTGCTTATCTCAGGGACAAGGGCTGGAATTGACCATCCCTAAAGCTTGGCTGTCAGCTCTGTGATTCAGCTGCTTTCTTTGGGTCTTAGCTACTGAGCATAAGCATTGCATCGAGTGCCAGGATCCACTTGTCCAGAAAATCACTCCTGACCACCAACACCAAACCAAAATGCAAGGGTGGGCCCAGAGGCTGGGTCCAATGGCCGTCTTCAAGTGTTCTGGGGCCATGATTTGATTCTTCTTGGCCTCGGAAGCAGAACCAGGAGCATCAGGTAATATGGTATGAGGGAAGGCCCACAGACCTAACTAACTCACCGGACATGGTTGGAATCTGGGCTTTGCTCTTTGCCTCTCTTCTCTGGGCCTCAGTTTCCCTTTCTGTGGAATTGGACTATACATTCTCTATAGTCACTCTTAGCTCTAAAATCCTATAGTAACAAGGTACAAAGAGAGAGATTTCAGCTCAGTGGAGGAGGGTAAAACTTCTTAATAGGTAGAGCTGCCTGGGGCAGTAGACTGAAGGATGGTGAATTCTCATCACTGGGGGCCTTTAGATGGTAGCTGGCTGGCTACCATCAGGCGGGCTATATATAAATTACATATATTATACATGTACTATGCTATATAATTATGTATGGTATAATATATATAATTCTACTAAATACATACTATGTAGTATATATAACTCCTACATATGCTACTACACGTACTATATAATGATATATTCTACTACATACATACATATATACACACACACATACGCACGCATACTATAGAATATATGGGGTAGCTAGGGAGCTCAGTGGATAGAACATCAGGCCTGGATTTAGGAAGACCTGACTTCAGATATGGCCTTAGGTACTTACTAGCTGGGTGACCCTAGGCAAGTCACTTAACTTCATTTGCCTCAGTTTCCTCATCTGTAAAATGAGCTGGAGAAGAAAATGGCAAATTACTCCAGTATCTTTTTTTTTTGGCAAGGCAATCGGGGTCAGGTGACTTCCCCAGGATTTCACAGCTAATATGTGTCAAGTGTCTGATTTGAACCCAGGTCCCCGATTCCAGGGCCGGTGCTCGCTCCACTGTTCTATCTAGCTGCCCCAACACTCCGGTATCTTTGCCAAGAAACTCCAAATGGAGTCACGAAGAGCTGGTCGTGACTGAAACAGCTGAAGAACAGCAAAACATACATTCTTACATACATGCATGCATATATATACACATACATGTATAGACAAATACATACACACATGCATACATACATAAATACATACAAACTCTACTCAGTATAGGCTGGATTGGCTGACCTCCAGGATCTTTTCTCACAGTTAGAGTCTGTGATTCTGAACAGAAAAGGGAGACTCTCAGGGCAGTGACGTGGCGCAGGGGATAGAGCACCAGCCCTGGATTCAGGAGGGCCTGAGTTCAAATCCGGCCTCAGACATATAACACTTACTAGCTGTGTGACCCTGGGCAAAGAAAGAAAGAAAAGGGAGACTCTTTTCCCCGCTAAGACATCCCCAGTTGATTCAGAGTGTGGGTGACAGACCTTTTCACTCATTCAGTAAATGTGTGACTCCATTGCTATGGGTGCCCCCTCACCTGACACAGACAGCAATCCCTCTATAAGTTGGTGACCATTTCAGGATGTTGGGGCCAAAACCAGTTACCACCTAGGAACTGACCTTCTGGGGCTGGGGCTCTACACTTTCTTAGGAAAACAGACACAAAACCAATCAATACCCAGTAGAGCATGAGTGTCAGGAAGACCTAAGTTTAAATCCTGCCATAGATAGCTAGGAGCTATGAGATCCAGGGTAAGTTACTTAACCTCTCTCTCATCTGTAGAATAGGGATAATAGGGGCTGTTGTGAGGATCTAATGAGATGGCATATGTAAAGTGCTTTGTAAACCTTAAAGACCTAAAACTATAGGAATACTAGTTATTATTATGAGCTATTATTCACCTTGGTCCAGTTAGCCAGAGCTGGCTCTCTGCTGCTGTACCCTTGAGGACATGGGGTCACCTCCACACTACAATCACAGAAAAGGGGTGGGAAGTATTTGGGTGCTCCTAGAAACTGGTAGCTCAATAGAGTGAGCTTGGCTAGCATGCTTGAGACCTGGCAGAGCCGTTCTACTTTCTCTGCATCCTTATTTCCATTCCAGCTACCATTCCTTCATTCAGTAAATAAACCTTTGTTGTGAACAGTTTTTAAAAAATAATCTTTTATTTTTACATTACCTCATTTCTGAATATATCCCTTCCCTCTCGTCTCCCCAGGATCCATCCCTTTTCACGCAAAAAATGGAAGAAGAAAAAAAGCAGATCAGTAAAACCAACCAACATGTCAACTAAGTCTGACAATCTATACCATATGCCACACCCATGGCCTCCACTCCACTCCTTGATAGCATGGTCATGTACCAGAAGCCTCCAGGAATCCAAAGTCAAAGACATCACCTAGTGGACAACTCCGGTATAGCATCGACTGGAGCCCCTCCTCTCCACAGCCCTGCTCACAAAGCTGATGCCACAGACAGATGGAGAAACTGAGGCTCTGAACTCGCAGTGCACCGTGTATTAACACATTATTAAGACGGCAAATTTTAGTGGAGAAAATACAATCAACTCTAAATCCCGCAAGAGAGATTCTTCCCATAAATATTTTAGGGGAAAGTACTGAGTGGAACCTTTCCCTGGTGAGGTGGCATGACATAGGGCATTGAGTGCCAGATTGGAGCCGAGAAGATGGGTTCAAGCCCTACCTCTTAACGATGACTAATGAGCATAACATTGTCACCTGGGGATGCCAGGAACCAGGGAAGACTTTACAGAAGAGGTGGCACCTGACAGACCCTGAAGGCAGGGAGGAACTTTAGCCGGCAGGGAAGGCAGAAATAGGAGCTTGCATGGGCAACAGGACAATGAAAAAAGCAGGAAGAGAGTAGAAACTAGAAGCCGTGAGGCCTGTGGTATGAGATGATGCTGGAACCAGACTGTGGTGGCCTCTAGGTAGCTTACATATGTCTGCATGTATATGTATCATGTTTGCATGTAGTTTATATGTACATATATGTATGTAACAGCCAACAGTCACATCCTGGCCATCTCCACCTCTTCTGCACAGGAGACCTGGACTCTCTCCTTGGAACCATCCTGGCCTCTGATAGGAGACCTTAAGTTGCTTACAAGCAGACACCACACCATTGACCTCCACTCCAGCCTTCACCCCTCCCTCCCCTTATGTCTTCTCTTGCCCTATTAGAGTATAAGGGTCTTGAGGGCAGGAGCTGTCTTTGTTGCTTGGATTTGTATCCCTAGTGCCTAGCTTAGCACCAGCACATGGTAGGTGTTTAATAGGTCTCTCCCTTCAATCTAATGATTTGAGATTTTATTTCATTTCATCCTCACACCAGCTCTGTGAGGAGAACACAGCAGGAATTATTATGCCCAAATTATGGATGAAAATACCAAGGCTCCAAAGAATGAAATGATTTCCCATGGTCACTTGGCTATTAAGTATTAGATGCCAGACTTGAACCATGTTTTCTTCTGACTCCCAAGTCTAGCACTTGACCCATCATTCCAGCCTGCCAAGGCATCTTTGGATTCTGTCTCAATCGCCTGATGTGGTCACGCTGTCTTCTGGCTTCCTGTCATCTACGATTGTGATAAGCTTATCAGCTTTGCCTTTGTTCAAACAGCTGGTAAATAAATATTGGGGAAAACTCAATTAGCAAGTGTTAATTGGGTGCTTCCTCTGTTCTCTGTTTTTTGAGGTTTCCAGGGGAGAAGAGAAGCATCAGACAAGGTCCCTGGTTAGTAGAGAAGGAGCTTAGGAGAAGAAATGACACTAACGTATATCACTCTGTAACTTTCCACTACCCACTCCGGGGCTAGGATTCTGGCTCAAAAATGAAGAGGAGAAAAATTGAGAAATGTCAAACAGCAGGGGAGTCGAGATGACATTTCATTTCAAAATGTCATGAAAAAGAGCTTCCACTATCACAACAAGTTTTTGCCAGTTGCCTAGAATACTTATGGTTCTTATTAAGATCATCTCTGTCTGTTATGTGTCCTTGAGAAAACCCTGAGGATAAGTAAGCCCTGCTTTGTGGGTGGCCTGTGCACACAGGGAAGCCAGGAGAAGAGATCAGCCGTCCTGGTGGACCTGTCCTGAGCAGGGAAGTTCTGGTCTGTGGCATGACCTCAAGGCCATATTCATCATGGTTCTTGTCCAGAGTCATAGGAGGTGATGCAGCAATGATATCAGACTCCCAAGGTTTCAGCTGATGAATCTCAAGGCTGGATAACTGACCCCACATTCTAAATAGGGGGCTAGACACTGCTGGAGAGAGACAGACCATACAGAAGAGATAAGACTAGGAGAGTGGGTCAACTGTGATTAACACTGCAGTCTTTTAAAACAAATTATCTGCCCTAAAATGAACTATCTGCCCTAAAACAAATTATCTGATTGGATCATAAAGCATCAAAGCAACCAGGCCCACACAATGGCCCCTAAACTCAGGGGCTGAACAGCGCCCCCCCCCCAAATGGCCCCTGGAGCTACAAATGCTTTGTCATTCCAGTTCTGTTGCTCTGCTGAGGAACAGTGGGGCACATTTCCTTGTGTGGTAAATGTTTTCTGTTCTAGAAAGATTGAACTGCCAGGCCAGTTCCTAAAGCTGTTCCTTGTTAGCCCATCTGCCTCTGTTAGCTTAATTGGTTAAAGGATGGGCTAAGGAGGCCAAGGTCACTTGAAGGTTGTCCATCTCCTGGAGCTTGCCTTGGTGAAGTGGAGACAACGCTGGGTTTAAGTTTTGGCTCTGCTCCTTATTACTGGTCTGACTTTGAGCAGGGCATGTCACCAGTGGGCCTCAGTTTTCTCATCTGTAAAATGAGGAGGATGATCTCTTTGCACTTCTAAATCCTGTCCCCTATGATTTTAGTAGATGCTGGACTTGTGTCCAACTTGAAACCTTTGCACTTTCTGGCTGTGAGATGAAAGTCAATTAATGGGAGAATCATTGAAGTTCTCAGAGCCTCAGTTTCTTTATTTGGTAAAATGGGGCTATAATCCCTACCTCATAGGGTTGTTGTGAGACACAAAGGAGAACATGGTATGTAAAACACTGGAAAGCATTCTATAAACCTGAGCCATTATCTCACCAAGGACAAAATAGCGATCGGGGAGCCGTCCTTTGACACGGTGGTCAGTTATAGGGAGGATGGATGGGGTGGACAGAAGAAGGGGGAGGGGCACAGATTCAGCAGCTCACACTGCTTTGGGGCTTTGTCTTTTCCACAGCTGTTTGGAATGATTTCCATTTATGCAGAGGATAGGCAAGCAGCGACATTCATGCCTGAAGAACATCAGGGAACCTCAGAACTAGTGTTCTTTGGGGCATCTAGGTGGTGCATTGGATAGCGTACCGGCCCTGAAGTCAGGATGGACCTGAGTTCAAATCTGGCCTCAGACACTTGATACTTCCTAGATGTGTGACCTTAGGCAAGTCACTTAACCCCATTGCCTAGGCCCCCCCCAAAAAAAAAAAGAATTGGTGTTCTTTGCTTTTGGGATGGTGTGTGTATGTGTGTGTGTGTGTGTGTGTGTGCGTGTGTTGACTTTCCTGGTCAGTCAATAAGCATTTCTTGTTTGTTGTTCAGTCACTTTTAGTCTTGTCCGAGTCTTTGTGGCCCCATTTGGGATTTTCTTGGCAAAGACACTGGAGTGGTTTGCCATTTCCTTTTCCATGAGGTATCGTTTTTTTTCATAAGATCAATTTGTAGTTATTTGGGTACATGTATTAGTGTATTAAATTGTACAGTAAATTGTAACCTCTATGAGAGATGGACCATTCCATTCTTTTCCACCTTTCTCTCCTCAGCAGCAAGCACAGAATTGAGCACTTTATAGATACATATTTGTTGAATTGAGTTTCAGCCAGCTACCTTCGTTCAGTCATTTTCACTTGTGTCTGACTCTTTGTGACCTCGTTTGGGGTTTTCTTGGCAAAGATACCCGAGCGGTTTGCCACTTCCTTCTCTGGCTCACTTTTACAGATGGGAACTGAGGCAAATAGTTAAGTGACTTGCCCAGGGTCACACAGCTAGTAAATGTCTGAGACCAGATTTGGACTCAGTGAGAGGAGCCTTCTTTACTCCAGGCCTGGCACTCTAACCACTTTGCCACCTAGCTGCCCAGTAAGCACTTAGTAAGCACCTGCTATGTGCCAGGCACAGTGCTAAGTGCTAGGGAATTGAAGGACTCTGTGTATGAATGCCTATTTCTTTCCACATATATGCATATAGAAACACACAGATATGCACAATGCACACACGTTGATATGTATACACATACGCATGCATCTATGTATGAATACAAACATACACATAAGTGTATATACATATAGGGGTTTTTTCCCGGTCTGTCCAGATATCATTGAGAAGGTCACATCCATGTTAGCCAGAGTTTGCCTGCTCTCTAACAAGCATGGATTTAAGAAAGGAGTATCATGGTATATAGTAGGAAGATCACTGGTTTCGGATCTGGGTTCAGATTTTGCCTCTGTTACCGTGTGACCTTCGGCACGTCTCTGATGCCCGAGTATCTTTCAGTATCTCTGGATAGTACTATCCAGTGCATCCAGCATCTCTGAAGTCCCTGCTCTTAAGCTATGATCCTACAGACCTATTGTTGCTTTTGCCCACTAGAGGCCGCTAGTGTTCCCAGAAAAATTCTACAACCAGATTAAGATGCCAAGAGTTTTAGATTTGGAAAGGCCTTCTGAGAGAAGTTCACCTTGCTCCTCTTCCTCTTGCTTTACAGATGAGGAAACTGAGGCCCAGGAGCACAACTGACTTGTCCAGAGTCACTCGGCGTCTGAGGCACCATCTGAACCTGGGTCTTTCTTATTACTAAAGGCCAGCACCCCATCCACACGTGATAGATCATATCATACATTGTATGATGTATTATTTTTTACCTCATTTTTAAAGCCTCTCATTGGATTCTCACCATCATCCTGTGGGGTAGCAAGAACAGCTTTTATTTCCATTTTACAGATAGGAAAAGAAGAGAAAAGATAAGCCAGGCTCTACACTTCCCTGTTCTCCTAGGGGCACCACCATCCTTGCAGACCCCCCAGGCTCACCTCAGCGTCACCCCAAGAGCTGATCTATTGTCAGATCTTGTTTCTACCTGTACAACACCTGGCATACATGCCCCCTCTCTCCATTCACACAGCTATGGCCCTAGTTCACACCCTTATCCCATCTCACCTGCA